ATTTTTGGCAGTTTTTTTTTCTTCCTTTCGTTATCTTCCCTTCAGTGGATGACATTTAGTCTGACAGAGCTCTTAGCTAGATGTCGCATTTCTCGAGATGATTTCATCCCAGTCTGGGTAATAGAGCTCTTTCATCCTCTGAGCATGCGTATGAAGGTTCTGTGCTTTTGTCTTGATAAGTTCGTCAAACGGACTTTCTGGAAGGTCCCAGGCGGATGCAGCAATGAAGGCAAACAGTGCTACATCTGCAAGGCAAGGTTTGTCTCCAAACAGAAATTTCTTCTGGCCTAAAATTTCCGAGACTGCTAGTAAATCTCTCTGCGCGATTCCATACAGTTCTTGTTCCGAGTGTCGACCCATGCCATGTCCCCATAGATCCCGTTTGATTCTCTTCGTTATATGGCGAGCTATCAGATGTTTAAGGGGGAAGACGAGATGGCCAAACTTTTTCGTGAACACCCTCCTTCGATATTCTGCTCCAAATGCAGACAGCCAACGGCAGTAAACAAGAGCCCTGTTAAAGGATTGGAAAAGAGGAAATTTTAAGGAGATTTAACCACCACATGATTCTTATGTTTGTAACGGCTCTTAAGAACAATTCATTATTTATTGGCTGGGGTGGGGTGGGGAAAATTTTTCCTTTTTTTTTTAAGTAAAGGCGCCAGCTACTTTGCATAGTAGAGTTCGTTATAGCGCAATGCTAGAACACGGGAGGGCACAAAACCGAAGATCTCTGGTTCAAATCTTCATGGGAACTAACTGAGAATACTTACCAATAAGTGTTTTCCTCTAGCATGGTCCGAACACTATGAGACATGGCTTTTTCCGTGCTGTTCAAATGAGAATCAATGTCCACTTTAAATTCCCTTTTCAGGAACTGAATACAAAAATTGGAATCAGCGATTTCTTGCCCATTAAACTCAATCCACGGCATTTTTCCCTTCTTGGAAAACTTCAAGCGATAGTCATTCTGGTACGGGATCTTTGTCATACGAAGGAAAGTTTCCAACTTCAGACAAGGCGGTGAACCACTAACTGATAACTCTGTCGGAGCAAATTGGTGTAGGATAAGTGCTCCACGCTTGGAGGATTTCTTATTCTTTTTCAATATTTGCATCGTTCAAGTGTTTCTTCAAGCGGTCTGAGGCGTTTTCGGACCTGAGTGGTTTAAACTTTGATTCAACTGGAGCTGTTGAAGTGCTCTAGTTGGGGTTTTTATAGCGCTTTAGACGTAATGACATAACAATTTATAAAAACCGGAATAACCCGATAACGGCTTGTAAACGGAAAAATAATGCGGAATGCCACTTCCGGAGCAAACTAACATCCTGGGTTGAGACAATAAACCCTGCTGATACAATTGGTTTTCTAATCTACCAAAAATAAATCAATAGACGTTTTTGAACCGACAAAGTGTGTTATTTAACGCTACATATAAGCAAATATCAGAGCAGATAAACATAACGATTGTCACTGAACCCTGTGTGTGGCCCACATTTTAGAGTGGCGTCATATTTCGTTCGCATCGTACAACCATAAACAGCTACTTAAAGGTTCCGGTATTTCCCTACTAGCCAAAGGTCATTGAGTGCCAATAATAACGATGCTGGTTTAAATGCAAATCGATTTCATGTCGAGATTGGTTGACGCTGTCATTAGCGCAAACTTAAAAACAACTTGTTCAGACAAATCCTTTAATACTGACTAAAAATTATTATGCGTCAGCCTTATTTGATTCTGCATTGTTCTTGATTTTTTTTGTGTAACAGTTTACGAGACTGAAAATGAAAATTTTAAATTTGCCATTCCCAAGTAATTCTGACGCAACTTCCGCCTGGCAAAAAAAAGAAGCCAATTTCTCAACATGAAAATAAAAACAACTGGTATAATAACGCTGAGATGAGCTTTCTCAGGAAACGGCGGGGCGATTTGTCTCAGAGCGTAAAATCTCCTTCAACATGAGAGAAGACGCTAGAAATAGTGACTTGGGATAATTCGATAAAAGTGGATGACACTTGGTGGGAATAATAAACCAGAGCGGAAAAATTGTGCTAAAAGCCTAAATGGAACATTAAAAATGAACTGCAGATTGGAGAATCTAGGATCAAGTAATAGATCTTTTGGTAACTAAGTTCTATGTGAAACAATTAATAATTTGACGCTGATAATTGACACTTTAATTTATGTTGCTAATCAGATAAAAAAGAAAAGCGTTTGAATAGACCTCCTTGATTTCCGCTCGACACGCTACTTTCAGCATTACGTGATATTTGCACATTTTTATAACCTCGATATCTAGCTAAGAACTTGCTGGATTTTAACTTTTATCTTAATTAAGGAAGCATATTGCAATATCGATACAGCAAACACCGTCAAAATACTTTCAGTAGATATTGCCCATGGTTTCGTGGCAAAAATATTAATATTTCGCTTCGGAACGATCGGAAGCCGTATGTTGTCGAAAGTCGCTTACCAGATGGTCGGAGGCCTTTATAGTCACTGAGACGTCAATATATATTTTCTTGCCAAATTTGGTAGCGTAACCGATGCATTAAAGAAACTGTTATTCCTTTTGTCTCGGGAGTGGGATACGAACATGCGAACGTCTTTACGCCCTAAAATTAAATACCCAACGAGTGAGGGCTGTCAATTTTTCATAGACATATTTACAAAGAGTATGCATAAGAGTCGTGCGTTTATTGTATTTTCAGTCGTTTGCTTGCTGTATTTTGAGCCTTTCAGAGTTTATGTAATTTTTCTGTCAGTTTTTCATAAACATACTTACAAAGAATATACATGAGTTAGGTCGTTTACTGCATTATTAGTTGTTTTGCTTGTTGTATTTTGAGCCTTTCAGAGTTTCTGTAATTTTGCTTGCGAGACATAATAGAGAGGGTCGCACACGGCTCAAGTTGACACACCCCAACTATGCATGCTTCTTACATGATAAATGTTTTATATTCGTTTGAGCGGGGTGGCGAATTAGGATATAAAGAGTGAGTTTCGTTTTTGCGATTCATTGAAGTCTCGTTTGCTAAGAAGAATAAATTGATAGTTCATATCGTTGAATGAAAAGAACGGATATTAATGAGACTAGTTCAAAATTGGCGAGGAATAATCTTGCCACGTTCAAAGGAAGTTCTACGGAACTTGAAAAGCTATAGCTCTAACGCTTCAGATTCGTCATTTCCACCCGTCAAATTGGCCTTCTCCCGGTTGTTTAAGAATCTCTTCACGTCAGCTCATTTACATTGTAAACTCAGTTGATAAAACCAATTAAATTATCTCGTGATACCCCCTACTGGCGCAGCATGATAGTTTATTTAGAAACTTACTTCCTTTTACGACAGTTTTGTCTCGTTTGTGTTTAATCACACTGCACAGAATTATACCAAGTTTTATTTCGTTCACGTTGAAAATGGTTAGCTCGACCTTGCGACGAGCTAACGCCTTCACTAGTACTTTCAAGATCTCATTTGTAATTCTCTTTACTGTCTGCCATTCAATCCTTGTACGCGTGTGATATTGTGTTAGAGATTATATCTAACACTCTTGTATAGTCTTCATTGCCTCTATAAATAGCTCAAACAACTTGTTAGCTCGGGTTTTAACGCATTATCTATAGGAAGATAGAGTGTCGGTTTCTAGCTAATAAAGATGGCAGTTAGCAAGCTGTCAATATTTGATCAACGTCACCATTCCTCGCTTCACTTGTGCATCACTCTGAGTTACGTATAACATTTCCCGCATACTAAGTATGTACCTTCAGTTTGTTTACTCTTTCCAAAATAACTTTCTACCTAAAAATGTTCATACTTTTTCCTTGGCTCAGCAAAAATTACTTCCGTAACATACACCATCCAAATCCGGTTACTTTTGGAAGAAGCCAATTTCTCAACACTGAGCTGAAATAAAGACGCTGAGATGAGCTTTTTTATGAAACGGCGGAGCGATTTCTTTCAGAGCGTAAAATCTCCTTTAACTTGAGAGAAGACGCTACAAATAGTGACTTAGGATAATTCTGAAGATTGCAGATTGGAGAATCTAGGATCAAATGATAGAGCTCTAAGTAACTAAGTTCTAAAACAATTAGTAATTTGGCGCTGATAATTGATACCTTAATTTCTCTTGCTCATTAGATCAAAAAACAGCGTTTGAATAGACCTCCCCGATTTCCGCTCGACAAGCTACTTTCTGCATTACGTGATGTTTGAACAATTTTACAACCTCGATATTCTAGCTAGCAACTTGCTGGATTTTAACTTTTACCTTAATTAGAAAGCATATTACAGTATCGATACACTAAACACCATTAAAATACCCATGTTTCATGGAAAAAATATTAACTTTACATTCCGGAACGGTCGGAAGCCATATGTTGTCGAAAGTCGCTCACCTGGAGGTCGGAAGCCTTCATAGTCGCTGAAACGAGTTTGTATATTTTCGTGCCAAATTTAATAGCATTACCGATGCATTAAAGAAACTGTGATTCTTTTTGTCACAGGAGTGGGACAAGGACCGACTATGTAATGCATTAGCTTCTGAAATTACTTTGAAATTTCAAGTTGCAATTTCGAGTCACGTATTTCAAAGTTGTTCGAACAACTGATAAGGTCTTAGCGGATTAATAGAGATAGTTATTTTGAGAAATCTTGCTTTCGATATGAATTTACTCCAAGGTCATCCTTAAGCGTCAAGTCGCAATCGTGGCATCGTTAAACATCAGTTAAGGATCAGTCATTATTTCTCTCTCGGTTGAGTGGTTAATGGTTGGACGTCAATGACTAGTTCAATGAATTCATCATGGGTTACGTAACCTATTGTGTGGGGTGTTGCGTGGTATGTCGTTCATTGCGGACCGTTGCCTCCATTCATATTAATTCGCGTCATACGAAAGTATTTGCGCCCTCAAAATTAAATACCCAACGAGTGAGGGGTGACAATTTTTCATAGACATATCAACAAAGCGTATGTATATTCATTCACGTTAAAAATGGTTAGCTCGACTTTGCGCTGAGCTAACGCCTTCACTAGTACTTCCAAGATCTCATAAGTAATTCTCTTTACTGTCTGCCAATTAATTCTCTTGATATTGGTTGGGAAAGTTTGGTATCAGATCAACAAATAATCTCCTAGTTAATTGATTTGTGTATATATGTGTATATATATATAGATATTCTTCTGTCGGCAGTTGCAAGTTTTTGTGTCTTTTGTGTTGGTGTTATCTGCGGTTTCATGGATGTGTTTGAATGAATTTAAAATGCGTTTGTCGATGATCCTTTTTAATGTTATTCATACAGCCGTAATTGATTTTGATTATGTTACGATTTAAGATTTTTCCAGATTGTGGTCTTTCGGAAAGTGTCTGTCTACTTGGACAAAGAGCACGATTTTGGTGCTGACGTTTTTGCTGAGTGGGGGTGTACCAGAGTATGTTGTTCCGTTCTTTTTTTACGCCAAACGGAAAAACAGACAACGGAACAACATACTCTGGTACAACCCCCCATTCAGCGAAGACGTCAGCACCAATACAAAAAGCGCATTTCTTAAAAAGTGGGAAAATTGAAGCTGATAGAGAAAAGTAGCCAGCGCAGCCGACTGGTTTTTTTTTTTTTAAATTTTATTTGTTTATTTATTTTTTACAATAAAAGATATTCAACTATCCCATATCGCAAGATGTTTGTATTCGATGTGCACGTTATTTCTACTCTTTTAGTGTAGGTAAATAACGATATTCTTTATTCTCATCACTTGTCCACTTGACATTGTCTTCATGGTGTAAGAAGAAATTCTATTTTGGTCAGTCATGGAAAGTTAAAGGTTATAAAAAGCTGAAGTCGCATTTATTAACTTTTGATATAAGACTGGCCAAAATACATGATGACGGGATTCCTTTTCGTTATTCATTTTTTTTAGAGGAACTTATACTTTCTTTGTGGTTTGGTGTTTTCCCTTAACGTAACTTTTCCTCTTCCAGTACGAAATAACAACTTGGTACTCCACAAACGGAAAAAAGCCGGCGAATTAGTGGTAATGAAGATCATTAGAGGGACGAAGTATTTAAGTGAGGTGTGGCAGGAAATGCTTAAGTTAAAAGATGTCACGAAACGTAGAATCCTTCTTTGGCACGTACGAGATCCTTTAAATTAAAAGGGATCTTGAAAAATAAATAAAGCAGATAAGCACTCGAATTAAAACTCGTCCAAAAATTAAAGGGAATTACACAGGATTGTTTTTCGGCGAAATCAAAGTAGCGTGCTGTTAGCCGAATTCAGTTTCTTGCGAAATTGACATGCTCCAAAGGTGGAGCAACATATTCCGTTTACCTCGTAAGTGGGGCAAGGAGAGTCTAAATTTATATTATGACCACTGCTGTTTAAATAACCGTTTATTTCACTGTGAAAAGTACGTTCTGACTTCCTTGGAGTCAATAAGTTGGCCCACAGCCATGTTTGGGCATGCGCTGGAAGGACTGTTCATTTGGAAGCACCAGGCAAGACTCTCTATCTGTTCTTCCCAGCCGTTTTCCCATTCCCTTTCATCTTCATAGTTTGTTTTAGGATCAGGGGCTTTTGTTAAATTACTATTTCCCTAAAGAAAAAAAACAACAACAAACAACAAGTCCTAAGAGGTTTGAACTCATCACTTACCCAGCTAATAGACGTCGCCAGACAGATAAAGCGCACACAAAGGTGATTTTGGAAATTAGCTGAATGATTAAACGTATAGCGAGACGAAATTTTACGCTTGTTACATTGTCCTCTCTTGTTCTTCAGGTACCAGCCATGGGGGGGAGGGGGGAGAGGAGGGGCGGTAAGGGGTTGATTATGTCACGATAAAATTTACCTGATCTCTAAATAGGTTTCTGTAATATTCTGATGATCCCTCTCATTGGCAGTTAATTTTCAATAAGAACCGCTATATACTCCCATTGTGACGACTGATTTCTCCTTTGTTCACCCTGAAAACAATGCAATCCACAAAAATTCTTTTCCCCCCCCCGCCCGTCCTCCTCTTTGCCTGCCCTTAGGCAATAAATTCATTTATCAAAGAAGTTTGATGGAACAAATTGCGACAAAGACAAGTTAAGATGACTCAAAACTAGTTAGCAATTAGGATAAGTTGAGATAAGCATCCCATATTACTTGACGAATATAACAAGTCACCTGCAAACTAAACCGAAAAACGAAGCAAGCCGGGTTGACTTTCGAAGACTCCACAAGAAGCCCACGAGGCGGTCACCCAAAGAGACGCAGCTCGCTGAACAGAGTCTGGCGAGCGACAGACCTATCAAAAGCGTCTCTCGAAGTTTGTAATTATTTGAACGCAATAGATAGCTTCAAAAACTTGAAGAAACTTCAAGTATCAACGGAATAGTCCTCTCCGAGAATTTAGCTTACTTACCGCTTTGAATGTTCCGTTATCTCCAACGTTTCCCAAAAAGTGAAGTTCCATGTGTGGGTTGAAAAAAGACGCCAAAGTCGCCACACTTGACTCTGCATGAAGAAAATGTCCGCATTTGGCAAGGAGTAAGATATCAATGAGAACCTGGGACCCACTTTCAATTGCATCGATGCCGTTTACTTGACCGTTGATTGGTCTAGTAGACTGGTACTCGGCTGCTCTCACGGCTGCGGTGTATACAACCTGAATTGTAAAAGAATGTAACCAGGCTTTAGTTTTACAAGGTTTAATAGTGACTCATCTGTCTCTGCAGAAACTTGCTTTTTTGATTGCGTGTAACAGCGGAATAGAGTGGAATAGCTGTTCCGAGTGAGCAAAGTATTGGTATACACAAGGTACCCTATATAATTTTGTCGCGCTCTAAAAAAATAAGATAAGAGAAACAAAGAAAAGAAAGGAAATGAATAAAGCAGAAAAGAGAGAAGGAAGGGAAGGGAAAAAAGGAAAGAAAGAAAGAGAGAGGGAATTTAGGAAGGACCGAAGGAAAGAAAAAAAGAAAGAGAAAGAGAGGAATTTAAGGGGGAAGGAAGGAGGGAAGGAGAGAACACAAAAGGAAAGAGGGAAAAAGAGAAAGGAAGAAGGAAAGAAAAAGGAAAGAAAGCGGGAAAGAGATCGAAAGGGAAGGAAAGAAAGCGAGGATCAATATCAGTATCTGGGCAACTGCCCACTTACCCCTCCCCTAACCCAACATTAACCCTAACTTGTTATCAATAGACTGTTGTTGGGTTAGGGGAGGGGCAGGTGGGCAGTTTCCCATATACTGATATTGATCCGTAAGCGATACAAAAACTAATACTCCTCACTCCAATTTGACTTAGAAATAAGTAAACGGTGAATTTTGCCATATCACGCTAATATATAGATGGCGTCAAACCAAACTACAATTCATCATCGGTGATTTACAATTGAACCATTATATCAGAAAGTAACAACCATACCTTTCCCTTTTCAAAATATTCTACAAATCGGCGAACAATCTCATTATTGTCACTGGCCAAGAATATTTTCTTAGGCTGTTCAAGGGTTTTGAATACTGCTTCTGCATCTTGAATCCACTTCTCCATTGCAGGTAATTTCTTTTCTTCCATCTCTAGCATGTGGTCGGTTCCGCGCACGTGGACACCTAGCATGTTATATCCGTTCATGTATTCCATGTAAAACTGGTTTACACGAGACTGAATACTTTCCTGAGGTCGAACGTATTCGCCTATCAGACCATGGACCCATTTCCTCAATTCTGCTGTTATAACGGCACCTTCCTCGTAACCAGGCAAACTTTGACGTTTTCTAAATCCAACCTCTAATAGAGAACTTCTCAAGATTCCATTACTTTGAGACTTCTTTTCTTGATTGAAATAAGGTAACTTAACAGATTCCTGTACAAGGACGTTTCCTACGATAATTCCTCCTAAACAAAGAACCTTCTTGGCGTTTAGCTCAGCTCCAGTGTTTAAAGGCTCGAAATAAGCTGACCAGGAATTTTCCTGAGGATCCTTTGCACAGCACGACTGACAGTTCTTCCAGTGAATGGTCACCTTATCTATTCCCAACATGCGACAGTACGACACATGATCTAAGGTGGCCAAAAGCAAGGCAGCAAATCCAACCTCTAAACACTCTAAGACTGTTGGCTCCGAAACGCAGACAGAAGTATCCAAAGATGAGTCTCTTTGTTTGCCTTCACGGACTGCGGCAAAGAATCCTCCTTGGAGTTCTTTAAGAACTAAGTTCGTCACATTAACTTTCAAAGGTTTGTTCAAGTTATTCTTTATACCTAAATGGCTTTTTCCTTCCGTCTTTGGTGTACTCTCCTCTGTTATTTGGTGCTCATTCGAAAAAGCACGTAGTTTACAATGTGATAGAAATTTCCAACAAATGTCCTCAGTAACTTGGGCTGATTTTAAATATAGCAAAAGTGCACAACCCACGAGCATTAAGACGGAACAATCCATCAAACGAGATAGTTTAAAGTACATATTGAGGATGGCTAGCCGTCACACGCAGATGAGATTATTCCCTAGAGTCAGTTAGATAGATAAGTTCAGTGATTTTCAGAAATCGGGTGAACAGTCTTCGATAAGTCTTTCCTCAACGGCTACAATTCTTTTGCAGTAGCCAGTTTCTCAGTGTCCTCGTTTGACGTTAGTTTCTTGTCTAAAGCGAAAAAGAAAGCAAAAAAGGAAACAGAGTCATTTAAACATCAAATAATAACTAGCAATGGGTTATATTTTAAAACCAGGTGAAACAATACGAAAAAAAAATTATACAGAAAATGTTTAAAGCCGGTAGTGGTTGTAATAAATCGTCAACCCGGATCGACCGAGTGGGCTTTTCCTATAAAGGATCGCTCTGTTTGACAGTGCAGTGATGCATCCAAGGTTAGGGTCCGGAGGGTTCGGACAACACTAACTCCCCCATACCTACCCCCATTAGACTTGAAGGTTTTTTTACCACTTGTCTGAAACAAAATTCTCTTAGCAAAAGGATCGCATATTAAAGATAACCGACGGCTAACAGGTCACTTTTTCGGAATACCGTCTAAATGCCTCGGGTAAGACATTGAAACAGACACAAGGTGTTTCGTATGCCTCTTGGTGCCTTTTTTCGCCGGGAAAACCTTCGTAAATGCTGCTTCGCGAGTCATCCGCCGTAAACGCTTCGATTTTGATCATGTGACCTTCACGTCACACGTATGTACATTAAGCAAAGTAAATATGGTGGATAATACTTCGAGTGAAAGCAGTTCTATTTCGGGGTCTGATTATTCGGATTTTGAAGCCTCTATGGAAGGTGAACATAATAAAAGGGTTTATGAATCTGTTGGTGGAATCAGGCCTTGGATATTTGAACCGCTAGGACGAACGTAACCTAAAACATAGCGCGAGAGTCAGAAGAGTATCAAGAGCCCGTGCACCGCGGCCGCCTCAATTAACAAAACGAGAATAGTGAGTGCATTTACGATTGTATATAAAGTATCTGAAAATCAGTCGCTTATTAAATTTAGGAGCGATCAAGTAAAGAAAACGAAATGCGCAGACTCTTGAATACCATGGGAGCGAAGTGTTTTTATGCCACACGCACTCACCTTCCGAAGCTAAGGTTTCACTGACTGAAAATATAAACATGCACGCTTGTAGAGGTTGTTATAACGTCGTAAAGAAAAGAAAAACTTGTATCTTCGATTGAATTGGATGGATTATACACGTTTACACGCGATTGAATCGGTTTTAAGTTTTCCTGTGTTAAATTTGGCAAACGATTGAAGATTTCTCGGCTTCTACTTTAAAACACGATGCAGCAATAAAGTAGCATTCGCACATGTAGAATTGTAAATAAAGTAAAGTAGTCTTAAGTTTGAGTTATCTCTCACGTCTGTGACATTTACAGAGCTGATAACTGTCCCTTTTGGTGAAACCAGTCATACAAGCTGAGCTCTATATTTCTTCTATTCAACATCGTGAAAAAAAAAATTGCTACTTTACTGATTTTTTTTATCACAAGGTGTCAGTGTAAAAACTGCCAATCAGTGTGGAGGGGGAAGAAAACATCTTTTGCCAAGAAGTAGATGTGGTCAAAAATAAAAATTTGTAGGGCGTTACATTGGAACAGTTGCAGGCAGAAGCCAGATGTATTGTTCAGCATCCAGGGTTTGAGGAAACTAGTGAAGGCTGACTCCGTCTGCATTTGTTTTGTTACACTATCACTACAGCGCTTCCCTGGTTTTCGTTTTCTTTGTTAACCGTGGGTGCAATGTATTCCCATGACATGTGCTTTAATGGTTTCCTCTTTCAGGCTGTCGGCTTGTTTTATCTACGATAAACGAGCGCGAGTAACTTACTGTTCACTTGGCTGACGAGTAACCTTTCGGACAGGATTGATTTCATCATGTTTCCGGTCGCAAATAAGAAACATCGCTTGAGTGTGGCGCTCATAACATGGCGTTTCTTGTAACATCCGTTTACAGTATGTTTTTCCAATGACAATTTGGTTTTCAAAGACGGTATCACTGTTTCTCGACAAAGCTGTTTTCAGAACCGGTTTGTCGGTTTGTAACCTAGTTACCAGCCATGAAAAGATAGGCTTAATAAATAAGCTGACTTGATGGCATGGAGAGGAAAATATCAGTCACCACAGAAGATCAACAAAAATAATATACCGATCGTGGTAATATGACGAGCCTTATCAAAACATTGATAAAAACTTGAAATACAAATCGCAATAATAATAATAATAATAATAGTAATTTGAAAAAAGGAAAAGAAATAAACATAAGGAAAAACGGAGAAAGCCGAAATCAATCCAAGTTTAAATCTCCAAATATAAAGACCCGTTTCCTGTTTTCTGCGGTGCATATTTAGGCTAATTGCGACATCAGAAGTCTTACCAGAAGTCATACGACCGCCTGCCATTTGATAAAGTGGCGTTCAATTTATGTAACTTAGCTTGTTCCTAGCTTGTTAGGTATTTCGTAAACGGTATGTAAATAAGAATGATTGATTAAACGAATGCCGAAATATGATCGCGACTGAAGAAAAATTTCATCAACGAAACATTTTTAGTCGAAAGGGCAACTTACAATATCCAAGCAAGTGAACAGTTGTTCAAAACAGAGCGTATTCAGCCGCCTGCGAAAGCTTTTGAGTCTTTCCTGCAGTTGTATTCGATATGCCAGGATGTCCACTCTGTTTCACACTCTTAATTAACACTTCATAAGCGTAGTAACTTAATAAACACAAGCTAATATCCTCGGCTTCGATTACCGGTTAGGATCGTTTACCTTGCGTAGAACGAAATAGAAAATTTCGCTACCTGTCATGAGATCATCCGAGTGAATGTAACACCACAGCAAAAATACGCACTTTGCATATCGTATGTGCAGAGTACACTGTCGACCGTCGCTTATTTGATGGCTTAAATATCGATTTGCGACCTCAGCTGACCTTTTATGTCAACGCAAAAGAGTCATTACCTCGGTCCATCCACACACACACTCAATACAGTTCCCGGCGCCACATTGAATTAGTAATCGCGCACACACGACAACGAGGCTGGGGTTGACCTGGCGGTTTTTTAAAACAGCTGATCTGCTGACATTTCACGTTCTAATGCGCTTTTCAATGCGATTTCTCCCTTCAAAATGGATCTTTAATACAATAATATGGAAATTTCGTCATTAGATGACATCCAGAAACTTGAAGCAAAAGATCTCAGGGAGATTTTAAAATCTAGTTCAAAATCGACTGGCGGAATTAGAGCCGACTTAGTGTCGAAAGTTTATGCTTTGCTGATGTAACACGTCCTTCCATCGAGTAGTGGAGAAAACCGAGTACTTCTTTCAGATACCCAGGACCTAGAACAAGACCAGAGCGACCTCAAATACGAAGCAACTATGGTAAGGATTTCAGCCCTTGGATGGTCGAGCGATCTCCGTTATTTAACAGAGATGAATTTCATTCACCCTAACGATTACCCTGTTGTTTCACGAGAATATCGCCACATCGTGTGGAGAGGAACGCATTACAGGAAGTACCACAGAAACTGTTCAGTGTGGCTTAGAAAGCAAGACAAAGGCTGTAGCCCTCTAGGTAGAGGAGATTTGTTATTGCTGCTGTTGTTGATGTGGTATTTGTTGTTGTACCATATTCTTCAGTTAAAGTTGTTCCCATTTTGTTTACCAAGATATATTTTAGATTGCCATTTGATTACAAGATTACCCGTGAATAAAACTCAACGGTCATGAGAATTAGGGAAATGATCAATAACTAAAGGAGCTTTGATTGTTATACAAATTCTCCTTTCCAGAACCCTAAGAAATGTATAAAGAAAGTATAGAGAATATGCATACTGATTTTAGGGTGTAGAGGGTTAACCTTTTAACTCCCATGAGCGACCAAGACAGAATTTCTCCTTACAATACCAAAACAATATCAAGCAGACAATGCAAGTTATGAGAATGAAGAAAAATATCAGTTAGGAGATTATAAGATGATCCAATACCAAATCCTCCAAACTAACATCACAAGAACTGTATGGGAGATATTAAGGAGATTACAAATGAGATCTTGGGAGTTAAAGAGTTTTAATGTAAACGGACGACTAGAAAAAGGTTCGTGTGTTTACTTTTTAGGTAAAATCCACAAACCTAACAACCCAGGTCGACCCATCGTCTCTGCCTGGAGAACTTATTTTCTGTTGTTTAGACAAAATTATGGCTCCTATCGTCAAAACTTCACCATCATACATTAAAGACTGAGTCAACACGCACTTGAAATTTTTCGCGACTCCAATTTAATATTCCTGGTCAAGACAAACTTTTCTCACTAAGGATTTTACATCTTTTTATGCTGTCATTCCTAATGACGAAGGTCTCCTGGCCCTCAAACAATTTTTTTAATCAACGCACTGTTATGGAACCTAGCTCTGAAACGTTACTCCGCCTAGCCAAACTAGTGCTAATACTCATTTGCTTTTCATTCGGTGGCAACTACTATAAACACACACACAACCCACAATTCCTCCATTCGCTCTGACAAAGGACTAACGCTCGAAAAGTTAGCTTTGAAACTCTTTACAGTGGCCAATTTACGTTATCAACTCAGCTGATAACTCCAAATTACCCGGTTCTCTTGTAAATGGTTTTTTTAAATTGAATTTGAATACAATATCAAAATACGTATATGGGAATGGACAGAAGGGCTCCTGATAAGATGCAACAAATGTATCGAACAAATACATCAAGTAAATATACTTATGCTAATAAATATATTTAACAAATATCTCTAACAAATATATAGAACAATTTGATAATAAGGACCGGGTCGCACTAAGGCAAATTCAAATATTTTAATTGTTTTCGTGAGTGAAAAGATTCGCAAAAAAATTCACAATTCCTAAATTTTGGTGGCAGTTGCATCACTCTTATATCCTTTGACCAAAACTTCACTGATTGACTCATACGTCATTCTCAAACCCATATCGTTCTCCGGCAAGATGAAAAAACATCTCGCACGAATAACTACGCAAGAAAGGATCTTTTCAAGTGCGTACGAAACTTTTGCGTTTTGTTCGCTGCTTGCTCTAATGTGCTGGCGTTGATACTTGCGATAGAAGGATAATTTCTCGTTGAAGCCATCTGTTTTCCAAATTTCTCCGAATAACTGGAACCCAAGGTACGAGTCTGAGACATTCCAAAAAAAAGTTTTTCTCGTTTCCATCGAAAGAAAAAGGGTCAGATGCTGACCATTCCTGTCATCGCGCTTCAAATAAGACAGCGAAATTAATTCTTTTTTTCCGCTGAAATTTTATCCCAACATGTCTTGCGTAGCATGACAGCTAAATGGTGTGGGGAAAAAAATGATAATTTGTTTTGACATCTCTTTCCCCAACCCCTCCGGTTTTGTTTGTGTTGTGGCTTCGATTCTAATTCCGCACTGAAGGGTGACCTCAGGTAAAATATGAAGTCTGTGAATGAACTTTCAAAGCTCTTGCTTACTGCTTAAATTAGGGTTAATATGAGCCTTATACAGATTAGATATCTTGCTCTTTAAGGCTCGTCATCAAGTTACAATTTACAATACACTTCTGGGGCGCAATAATCTTAAGATTCTGACGATGCCAAAGTTCTATACTGACTCTTTACTAGCTTGTGAGTTTTTATTACTGGATAAAATATTTACCGCCAAATGAATACTTACAGACAAACTTCCCACAGAATATGGAATCCAACTGTTGATAATCGCGTGCTCACAGCCTATTAAAGGGGGCATCAGGGCCTATTAGAAACCGCAAAACCGTAGAAAAAAGTCATTTAAAACCGAAAAACCGAAAAAAAATTCGATCAAAACCGAAATCCGCATGCGAAACTGTCAAAACCGATACATTTTTCAAATCCCAGTTAATAATAGAAGCGTGAACCCCTAAGGGATACTTACGATATTTCAATTGGCTTGCACAAAAGCCGAAAAAACCGATCCAAAATATAGCCAAAACTGCAAAACCGAAAATCCCCATGCCCCCCTCCTATAACTACGTCTAAAACACACTGCTGAAATTAAATGATCATGCTTGACTTTCACAAGTTATATTTCGTTTTGATCTCATACTAGTTTTCAATGCTAGAAGATTCCATGCTTGAACGATCTATTTGCCTTTGCAATCAACTATGATTTAGCAATCCTTACCTTTCAAAGACTTCGTCAAAGTCACAATTTCTTTAAAGCGTGATGCAGTTTACGAATCACAGAATGTGGGCATTGCAAACAGCCACCTAGTATTATCGTTTTAAAGATGATTTCAAAGCAAACATAACCTGGCGCTTTGTTCAGCAGTGTTTGGATCAATATCAGTATCTGGGCAACGGCCCACCTACCGATACTGATATTGATCCATTGTTTCGTATTTTATCATTGACGTCACCACTTCTCACTTTACTGATTAACAAAGGAAAAGTCAAATGATAAACATTTGAATAGATACTGACTTCGAAACATTTTAGACTTTCGAAATATCTTCTTTTGTTTATTTATGTAGCGTAACTCCGACGCACGACCGGATCTGTCTATGACAGAAACCAAATAAACACGATGTCTCTAACAAAGATATTCCCTTCCAATCAGGAGTGATTTTCCTTCATGGCATATTCTATTTAAAAAATGATAACCCCGCGAGTGGTCGAGCGGGGTTACACATTACGAGCCCAACTCTGCGGGAAATTTATTTTTGCTATCAGTCTTTTACGTTAAATATAATCACAGAAATAGATTGAAAAATGTTATTCTGTCTTTTCAGTGGTCAATATATCACGGTAACCACTATACGCTTCAAGAACGTTTATTGGCAACTGAGTCGACCGAAAAATAAAAGTTCATCGCCTTTTCTTCAGTAAATATTTTGCAGCTGTTTCTCAAAGCTGGCACTATTCTGGCGAAAACATGGAGCGTCTTTGCTTTACAGCCCTAATTAAGTATCAATAGGTTTGTTAATTGAAAGTGATGATGGTTGGCAGTAACTTTTGGGCAAGCTCGGTACAGCTGTGGTTCTTTCATAACCCAGCTGGGGCAAAAAGGTGATCAATATACCAATTGACAAAAGGAAGATAAGAATATATTGTTATTAAGAATTGTTTCTTACGGTATAGACATGTTTACTGTATACTGCACGCACTTAAAATGCAAATAAATTCTGAAAAATTTTTGCAGTAACACATTCCACACAAGTGATGAAAATTATAGCGACATTCTTACGCAAAACAACGCTAGAAAGAAAAACAAAGAAAGCTAAAAGTGCTAACGAACTGGCGTTTGGAACAACTCAACCTCCCTTGAAATTGCCGTGTCCAAGTGGGCCGGGTGCAACGATAAAAGAAACAATCTCTCCAGCGTAGAAAGAGAGTTTATTTTATACTAACGTTTTACAGTAACATGAAACAATAAGATGAAGACGAATTTTACGTCAGGCCTTCTTTCTCTACTGCTACGTTGATGTCAAAGTCCAAGGAACCCTAAATACTTAGGCCTTTACTGGATAAATACACCAATTAAAAAACAACTTCTCGGTAAAAGTGAGTTAACCTCCAAACCAATAATTGTAAAATTGTTCGAGATCAGTGAGATATTGAGATGTCTCCAGATTTTCATCAGGATGGTGGTAATGTCCGTACCCTGTACCATAATTGAAAGATTTCTTCACAAGCTTGTTATTAAACCGGGAATCCTGATGATTGACAGCGACCTCTCCACTCTTCAATCCGTTGTCTTTTTCTGACTGAACCTGTGCAACTGTTTTTGAGGGAAACGAAATTGTTCTCTCGTGTAGTTGATACGCTCGGTATGATTTTCAATCACGCGTGGTCATGCAGGTAGTAGAGACAAATAAAATATTTTAACATGACTTAGGTTCAGGAAATGTCAGAGCATGCTTCGACTCAGCGTCTTACGTCCCAAAGCCCACCTTGGAATTTGTCATTGACTGTCATAAACTGTATATATCATTTTTACTGGGCTCAATTAGAGATGGCTTTATACAGAAATCTTACTGAAGATAAAAGCAGGAGAGGATATTACTTAGTTAATCGAGAACACAATTACAACTATCTTCAATGCATCACGAAACTAGGGGTAAACTCTCTGTCAATAGCGATCTTTTTGGAGTTCAGAAACTGGGTTCATTTATTAAATTTGAAATGTAAATTTATTATTCAATACAAACCAAAGAAGATAAACGTGTACCGTGTTCTTTGAATGGTCCGCCACAAATGAACGGGAAACTGGAAAGGAAGACGCAGAGCCATAAAGTGTAACTCGTTGCCATTTTCTTTCACCCTGTTTGAGAAAAACAAGAACAGCAGGAGTAAATTATAACATGTGAGATAAATGATGAAGTTCAGGCTCTTTATTTTCTCTACGAAAAAGAAAACATGTCCTGAATCTGCTTAAAATATATCAGTCATTCGTTTGATACGGTCCTTTTAGCTTAACAAACAAAAACAACAACAACAAAAACAAACAGACCATAAAAGACAAGGGCAACTTACGCATATAGTCTCATCATGCATGATATTGTATAGAAAATAACACCGATTAAGGAAAACCGGGGAACTACAGTTGTAGTACAACATTGCTAAGTTCCAAGAGATTGCAACTACGAATTTAAAGTAAGAATTTACCACTCGGAACGATGGAGGACACTTTCGTCAAAATTTGATATCTGCTGACTTAAATATACTGACGAAATATATTCAGTCAACGTACCTCCTCGAAGTCTTGTCAAAGTGTGTCCAAGCTTTACCTTTTTCTTATTTATCCTGAATGAGTTTCTAATCACATAGCATATGGGAAAAAGCCGTGTGTTGGTTATTAAGAAGAGTTTAAACTACCACTTTAATATAATTTCTCGCTGAGTTTTCCTGCTGTTAAATGGTCCATGTACATTAATTCATGTTAATAGATGCTTCGGTGCGGTATATTTACCGACCTGAAAATAATTTAACAGCGAAATTTCTTTTACCTCAAGGCCACTTAATAGCTTTCAACCCCTCGTCACTTTTGTGGATGACTGCTTGTTACTTTTAGAGAGGTTGGTGATCACAGTAATGTTCCACTTCGGCTATCATCAGTATCCCCCATTTGCCGACTTAAAACTTTAATCCAACTGTTTATCTCATTTAAACTATAGACTATCAACATATACATAGTTATAAAAACAATAAAGCAGATTTTTTCAGGAGCGACCGACACAGGTCACAACAATCGGCGACTTTTCATGTAGACAGAGTTGCCATTTTTTTTTCTGCTCGTTATGGCAACCAAAAAGGTCAAAGCATGGATTAAGCCGCTTCTAAATGACAACTTCTACAATCTGCAATATAAATAGCAGCGAGTAAATTAATTTGCTATAGGCAAAGTATGGTACATCTGTTAAGTGTTGAGTTCTTGGTTAATTATCGATGAGACCCACGCAAAGTATCTTTTTTAGAGACCGGTCACTATTTATCGCGAGGGGGAAGGGGAGGGGGGATTTTGGTTGTGTCACTATACTTATTGCCTTCCCTAACCCCCTAATATTGGTAAGCAAGACGGCACGGAAAAATTGGCAATTAATGTTAGTCTGCAAGATGGCATAGAAAAATTGGCAATTTCTCTTGGTCTGCAAGATGGCGTAGAAAAATTGGCAATTGCTGGTGGTCGGCAAGCTGGCATAGAAAAATTGGCAATTACAGTTGGTCTGCAAGATGACAAAAATTGGCAATAAATATGTTGGTCTGCAAGATGGCATAAAAAATGGCAATAAATGTTGGTCTGCAAGATGGTATGGACACATTGGCAATGAACACTGCATGCAAGAAGGGTGAGATGGCGTCGTTTTGGAGAAGTATCTCAACTAATTTTGTCTGGGAGTGCAAAAACTAGACAAAAGAAAAGAAGAAAAAGGAAAAAAATACAACAAAACCAAATGGAAACAAAAAAAAAATTGAAAAAATCACTCATAGCAACACTAACAACAACAAACCTTGATTCCAGTTAAATAGATCTTTATTTGTGACAAAAGCTGCCGATTATTTACAAACCATTACGCTCGAAGCCCTTAAAATGATCAATATGCGTTCTTTCATTTACAATGTTGCCTATGATCCAAATGTAAGCGCAATGTGTATGTTAAATATTTTCAAATCAAGAAGCTAGCAAACCCTTGTAACGAAATTCAAAAGATTAAGCACCACTTCGAAGGTCACATTTGTTCTTTGATTTCATTAGTCCGAAAATTTGTCGAGTAATCAAATCACACCTTTGGTAACGAGACTTCAAGAGCGTTTTCTAAGCTATACGAATGTAATCGGTTACTGACAATATATTCATATGGTGAGTTCCAATAATATACAACATTGAATTGGCAACTTGACTTAAGATACTCCAAAATTTACTCCTTTAGCTTCGTACAACTTCACTGCATTCGATGCTGAGAGGGTTTTCATTACACACGTCAGCTGCCTCTATACAACAACAACGCTGACCATAACGTACAAATTTTGCGGAAAATACATCAGTTTTACACAGCCTCTTTCCCAGCTTCAATTTTGTTCATCTCCTCTTTGATTTCCAAACATTTCTTCAGCAGTACATCACTTGTTTTCGAAGTAGGTTTCCCAAAGAGTTCAGGGGCTCCAACTTCGCCTTTACTTATGCGGTCAAAAGTGTTCATAAGATCGTAACAAATTGTTTCACTGACAACAGAGTCCTTCTTGTAGTCAGGGTGCACTTCAACAAACCTACGCATCCATTGTGCTGTGGTCAACAGCTCACCTGCCGCAGCGAGAAAAGGATTTGTGTCAGATTTTTATTGGTAGAATTTCAAGCCCACCAAAGGCGATGTAGTTAATCAACATCTTGTAAAGATTAAAATCATTTAAAATCAAAAAAGTGGAGTCTACATTCACAAAGGGTTCGTAAGCAATTCAAGGGCCGAAGACGCAGTCTTGATTTCAGTAACAGTCAGGCCCCATTGAAGAAATCCCTATCTGGTGGATAGTGCAGTACGTCTGCTATGACTTGATCGGCTAGAGAGCGATTTATCCGATAGATATTGTAACCCCTCTTCATACAACTGGGCCCTAACGGTTATGGTGGCTACTATCTAGGTAATTTGTGTCAGTCACTCACCAGACGCCCTCCTAGAGATGAGCTTCAAATACTGCGAGATGGTGCATCGCGTGTCAATGTCAACATCCACGTTGCTGAGGTAACTCTCCATCAGGGGTATCAGACCAGGGAATTCACCTTCCTGCACAACAACATGATTGGATTTAAATACATATGTGAAACAACAATAACACTAAAGTAAAGGGTCAAAGAGAGCAGTTTTCGTTTTCACCATGGCTCACCTTTCCATTAATTATCTTGTCTATTGTCATCAGTTCATACTCGTCTTTACATTCTTCCAACTCTGGATTCTGAGCGCTTCCATTGGCCGCGGTAGGACCTTGGAAAAGAGAGAGAAAAGTTATAACACAGGTGTTAAATTATCAACGGCCATTTTTCACCCAAGATCTAGAATATTTTTGTCTTGGCTGATGAACATACCGTTCTCCATTGACTATTTCTGAGAATTCGATATATTTCGACAAGGTCCTGTGAAGGATTTCCCAAATCTTCTTACCTCTGTGCTTAGAAGTTTATTAAGATTACAAGGCCTCCAAAGGTCACGAAGGTACGCCTACTGTCACCAGGCAAAGGAAAGAATAACGCAGACGGTCGAGGGAGGGGAACAAAAGATGCAACAAAAGACCGACTTGCATGGCTACTGGAGCTTATCCAAGTTTCTAAAGTATAAAGCGACTAAACGTATTGCACCCCTTCCTGAATGACACAATAGTCAATCGCAAGCAACACGTATGAGTATTCCTGCATTCAGTCAAGTTTGCCTGACACTTCTTGGGAACCATTTTTATAGCTGGGTGGGGAAAGGCACTAAGAGAGTCAGGTTTATGTATCTTGCCAATGATACAAGTTCTTGTTCAACCCGCAAGTTCGCAAATGTCGACCCTAAGCCCACGGCACTACCCCTTAGTCTACCGCGTCCACCAAAGAAGGAGTGGGAATTGAGTAACCTTCTGGGATTACGTTGCCTGATGAAGGTGGCACGAGGAAGCTAAGGGTTCAACTTGTTGATGCAGTTGTTGTTTACTGTCATAGTTCTTTTTGTTTATCTTACATTTCTTCAACGTCTTCCTGAAGTAAAACTGGCCTTGGCGGACTGCATCTCTCTTCTGGGCAGTGACCATGTTCTCATCCACCTAGGAATGGAATAAATTAAAGTACGTTAATATGTCGCTGTAAGAATGTGTGTTGTTTTGTTGGTTTTAGTAACACTCAATATGGCACAGAAAAGAGTTTCATTTGGCTCATGAGTGAGACAAAAAACGCTGAATCCGTGAGGATTCGAACCTCAGTGAATGACGATTTTGTAATTGGATGATCAACCATTGAGAAACAGAGTTCGTCCCTCTCACCAGGCCTCTTTCTACTCAGGCACAGGTGAACTGACAGAAGATCTTCATAAAAATGATGAAGCTGGAAGGAGGGCATCACAAAAATGCATGTTGTTGCGGGAGAAACCGCGGATTAGGGGCTAGAATTTCTCGGCTAAGAAGTTTCTTGGACTTCAGCTCGAGCTTGGCCCTAAGTAATACGATTTTTTATTCTAATATTGCATTGATAACCAATTGGTTATGGCCTCTAAATTCTCGGACGCGTTGTCTAAACCTACGAACGGGCAAGATCCCTCCCTCACTAGTTGTCTCACGAACAGAATTCCTTTCAGTGTTACCTTGGATAGAGGAATCAGAAGATTGAGGTCGAACGACAAAATAACTCGTGTAAGAAGCACAACAAACGTCACATAGGCGGCATTCTCGAAATCTGTCAGTTGAACCTGAACGGTTGAAGAATCAAAGAAAAAAACAAAGACATTCATAATCAGAAATATCGGTGACTGAATTACATCCAGTAAACGTTGGGCTACCTTTTTTTATTTTATAAATATGTTCGAAACACCAAAGATACATGTTCAAGTTGCTTATTAACTCTTTAACCCACGAGCGACGGATCAATATCAGTATCTGGGCAACTGCCCACCTACCCCTCCCCTAACTCAACACCAGTCTATTGACAACAACTTAGGGTTAATGTTGGGTTAGGGGAGGGGTAGGTGAGCAGTTGCCCAGGTACTGATATTGATCCCGAGCGACTAGCATTTAATCTCTCCTTACAATATCACCCCTGGAAGAAATACATCATTCAAAACTACTACAGAGAGCAACACTGTTAGTCTACTGTGAAATATAATGATGGAGGAGCAAATACATGTATCAGCTAAGACCAAGTCATCTGTCGCGTAATGATAGTCACGTGTCGTGATTACTTTGAAACATTTCCTGCTCTTTCTGATCAGCTAGTTATGATAAAAAAACGCCCAGGCGTTCGGATCAATTTCAGTTTCCGAGCAACTGCGCTCCTGCCCCTCCCTCCCCTAACCTAAAAACAGTGAAACTTTTCCTGCTCTTTCTGATGAGCTAGTTATGATAAAAGACGCCCTGAGTGTTTCGGATCAATTATCTAAACAACTGCGCACCCACCCCTCCCTCCCCTAACCCCAAAACAGTGAACTGATATCAAGTCAGGTTTAATGTTGGGTTAGGGGAGTAGTAGGTTCACAATTGCTCAGGTACTGTTGTCGATCTGGTGTTTCAATATTGAATCCTACCTCAGTTGGCCTAAACTCCACTCTCCATCCGATGGAGGAGTTGGGAGGAGGTGGCTTGAAACGCATAGTCTGCCAGTTTGTAGACTGGATATTCTGAGGAGATAGAAAACAAGAATTCTACAGTATAAGCAGTGTTACTTTGGATGCAAAAATCCGGTGCACTGTACTAAACTACATCAGCTTGCCTATGGTTTTAAGTATTCTGCTATCGTGGTTCTTTTAACTCGTGTCTTCGTCATTTTTGCATCACTATACGTGTTAAAACAATCTCGTTTTCATAAATTCTGGTGTTCTGTTTCCACAAAGAAACCAAAATCTCGAAGCAAGTTTAGGTACTTTGTATAAAAGTATTTACGATTTTAAGGTGTATTGGTATCTCATGGGGCAAAAACTCAGGTACATCTGTATCCCGTTGATTTACTGAGCCCAACACATTTCTTTGTTACATATTTTTTTGGAGCACTGGACCTCAACGTGTAAAAAAGTTATAGAATTACGATCATCTTGAACTGATTTACCAATTAAAACATTATGTGAACACAAAAACTACACGTAAACATTGTGTACGGTCATGGAGTTCTCGACAAACACTGCAACACAGATGTTTACTTCTTTTATTTTTTTTCGTGGCCTTCCTAAAAAATATTTGACTTTAAACGAGGACAAACAGGTTTGAAAAGGAACCTTGTGTACCTCAAAATGATCTGTGTTCTGTTCATCATCTTGGTGAATGTGCTCTTGGAACAAGGTCAAGGGATCACGAATGAACAAGTGTGCGTAATGGCGAGCTAACTGATCATCGATGCCTGAAATTGGAAAACAAAACAATGGCAAGAACTAATTTAAGTAAAATAACACAAGATAGACTTTCTAACATATAACCTTGGCCATCATTGCGCAGAAGCATTACAATCAACTTTCCTATACTGATAGTGCGCAGAGAGTTTGTTACCATAGACCTGTAAAACGGCCTAGCCTACTGCAAGTCTCCTACACAAGTCTACTCAGTGGTAGAGCATCTGATCTACTGAATGTCGCACGAACTTCCTTGATTAGTTTCTCAATAAAAGTTTATACACCACATCTACGTATCTTATGAACAAATAACAGGTACATGTATACTAACCAGCATCTATAAGCTGCCGATAAATCTCCTTATCGTACACCAGGTCGATATCACTATACTTTTCTCCGTCTTGAGAAAGGTATGTGCTTATAGAGTCGTACCGTGACTTGGGGATCACGAATCGGTTTTCTTTCAAAGGCTACAAGAAACAAAACGAAAAGAAAAGAACAGAGTTTATTCTAAGTTACGATTCAAACTTTGTATTTGAGCGCTTATCGATTGAGTGTCGTAAAACCTAAACCAAAGTAATCACAATAACCAATCAAAAGAGAGGAAAATTCCTTTAAGAGCCAATGAGAACTCACAGTAAAAAACAAGAAAATTGCCTGAGCGCGGGAAAACGCGGGCGACCAAGTCGTGATTAGTTTAAGTTTGGCATCTTATTGGTCGAGAAAGTTGCGCGAGTTTTCTGGTCTAATCAAAGAGCAAAGTAAACAAATCTCCGATTACTTTTAGACACTAAATTGAAAATTTATCTATGACGCACAATAATACAATGATTAGGAAAACAAAGCAAAGCCAAAATGAAACACAACTTTATGTTTCCTACGAACTCACCTCCAGACCTTTCTCTTCGGGAGTGCGGTCATCAACTGAGCCTGAAATCACGCTCCAGCGGCAATCCAGATCTGACAAGTACCCGCGCAGGATCGGAGTTCCGGCAGAGAGAGCCATCTTCAAGAACAAAAGGGAAGTACACGTACATCAAAACACAAATAAAAGATTATAAAAGCCAACAGCCATATCTACTGAGCAGGAAGTGCAGCTGATGAAATCCAATGAAAAATTATGAATTAAAATACACAAGCAAAATTGTTGGCATAACCAAGACATTAGAAGACGAAATATAAAAAGCATTTTTCACTAGGGCTTTTTTCCTTTGCACTTACCACAATAGGAGTAACAACTGCCAGCTGATCATACAGAAACCTCGCTTCTTGAATGCTGCAGGCTTGAAATGTCATCTAAAATGATCCATATTATCGTCATAAACGTTTGAAACGGAGTAACCGAAGAGTTAAAGCAATCATAACAAATAGGGTTTTAAAGAAAGAGCTTCCCAGCGGAAGAACCGTCAACCGATCTGGATGAAAACCGTATAATTGTCTCCTGTTGTCTGAAGAGCACTTCAAACATGTAATATTTTTTCTGAATTCGATGTGTTTGATTTTTAGGGCGGCAAGTAACACAATATAGTTACGTAATATATGTACAAAGGGAGTAAGTTGCCATAGAGACTGTGGTGCTACGTCAGTGGGGGAGTAGAACAAGATAATTTGGTTTCATCAACTGAGTTAATAAAAGTATATTGGCCACCGTAGAGTTTCCAAAGATTCAAGCGTTAGCCCTTTGTCATGACAGTCAGGTAAAGTTAAAGGTATATGTAAGCTTCTAAAGAAACCGTGGTGCTGCGTCGGTGGGAGAGTACAACAGGGTGATTTGGTATTATCAACTTCCTTCTGTAATGTACCTCATTTTGAGAAATAGACACCATCAGACAGACAGCACAGTTCATGAAAGTTACCTGAAGGCAGGACATGCCCATACCAAAGCCCATGCTATCTAAATAGATGTGATCTGGCAAAGCAGCCTTTGCTCCTTCCCCTTCTACTACAGGAAACTTCTCGATGAAAGGTGATGGAGTGTTTACATCCTTAAAAACTGTAAAAAAAAAAAAGCCACAAGTTTCAACAGTTACTCAAAGTAAATGCAAGTACTTGCACAAGTATGAGTTAAGAAAAGACCCTTGCAAGTGAGTTTAAATTACAGAGGAAAACTACATATAAGTAGATTGGCCATTCTAACTGTACAGTACAATTCAGCTTTGAAACCCTGCCCTCCTCACCAAATAATTCTTTACCAAATAATTCCAAGAATCAAGGATTGGATGTCAAGTCTTGAGGACTGTGTTAAGACATTTGTTTTTGAGGATTTTTTTAAAATGAATATTAACCAGCAATTTTGAGTAAATATAACCCATTTCCCGGCTCAGAATTACCTTTGTTTTACTTTCCTTTTCTTTTCTTTTTTTTTAAAAACAATAAACCTACTTGGAATGTTGATGGCAACTTTAGAGCCCCTCCTTTCCCGAATGTTTCGTGTAAGGGTGCTGAAGGAAAAATAAAACAGTTTTTAGTTTTTAATCCGAAAAAGAATGCAACAGTATCCGAGTTTAGAAGTCAATACATAGTTACATGACTGTATTTCTTTGTAATATTTACCTGAATCTTGGATGCCCTTGGTATATTGCCTGATCAGGAAAAAACATTGAACAGGAAGTTCCTCCAACAGGAGTTGGGTCAAAGCTTGGGTATGTAAAGTTTGGGCATCCAAGTCTTAAAAAGAGAAATCATTGTTTCATTAGCATCAGTTAAAACTTAAACAAACCCTCAAGTTAAAAAAATACACTTTACCAACCCTCTTGCCTGGTAGGTTTGGTTAAATAAAAACGTACATACACGTGCATTTTAGACAAATTTGTTGTGAATAGAAGTCTCTTTCTGTCTTCACATAGGGTGTAACCTCATCTAAACACTCATGTCCATATCATACTTCACCAAATAATATGTAAAAACAAGCTATATCACCAAGCAATTTATTGATGGATTCATTGTAAATACAACCTCCATTACTACAATCCAGTTACCTGGGAAATCCACAAATTGACAAAACAGTTTCTCCAGGTTCTGAAAGATTCTTCAAGACTTCTTCACGTCTGTTGTTAAAAAAAAAACACAAAAAAACAAACAAACAAAAACAATTGTGCTTAATTGCATAAAGAAATTGTACAGTGTACTTTGCACTGAGGAAAGAAAGGTTTGACAAGCAGGAAAACTGCAATACAGATACAAATCAACAAACCACCACTAAATTTGTTTTAAAACCACTAATCAATTGGATTAACTGTGACTTTACCTAAGCCTCATGTTTGCCTCAATCATGTTGAAGTGTCTCATACATCCACCCAGAGGTTGGCCCGGTGTCCCTGGAATTTACAATTAATTAATGAATCAAGTCATTGAGTTCTCAATCCACATGTAATGCAAAAGAAGAGATCTTTGGTTCAGATGAAAATCAAATGTAAATCAAAAGCTCAGGAGACAGAGAAATCCTTTTATTACCTTCAACCATGTAGCCTGCATACTCAGGTCTCCATGCAGTCTTGTTAGTGCTGCAATTTCAATCACATATTGTTACTAAACAAAATGCAGCAATTGTTTGGTACAGTACTTTTATTCAAACTGATTTCTTTCTTATACATGTATACCTGTTTATTTCTTTTTATCTGTGTCTTTTTTTTTAACCATAACTACTGATTTATAACAAATCAATTACTACACTTGAACTGACCAAAAATTGATAATGGAACTGTACCCATGGAAAAAAATTTTAACTGCCAAGGCAAACCAAAATTTACAGTAAATGGGACTACAAACTAATCTCCCTTTAAGACATGATATGTTTGTCCAATACACATATAAAATCACCAGGTATATATCTATGTTAAGCACATAATTTATCTATAATCACCTCATTAATTATAATCAATTACAAATCAAATCCCAGGTACTTTTACCCTGATGTATCTCTCCAACATTATCACAGTTACAATTTTATTCTGTACATCTTAAATTAAATTTCTATCCCATAAATTTTACTTCATAAGGGTGTTCATATGTACATGCATATAATCTTTATACGTGTGAATAATTTTTTCAGATTATATGCACAGTGTTCTGCCTTTGTGAGTTTCAGAAGGTTACACTACCAATTGTTCTGCAAGATGAGGGGAAGCTAATGGTCAGCATCAGAACACCAATCCTCAAAAAACCTTACATGTACAATGAAGTGCACAAACTGCAACCTCGTCTCTGGGATCCTTTTTAGTCTCCCACTTCACCCTACCCTCCTCCCTCCCTGCACTAATCAAGTTCTTGAGACTGGTTCAAAGAATGTCACAGTCACTAGGAATGAATTTGTACCATTCAAATTTTTATACAAATTAAACCCTTTAACCGAATTTGGGGTGATACGGAATCTATTAATAGTATTTTTCTAATCTCCTAAGTCTTTTTTTCATTTTTGGATAAAAGTCTGCAATACATGTACATTGTATCTGAGTTTATCAAGGTTGAATCTGCTCATTTCAAACATAGTTAGCCACTTTAACCCTTACCCCTTTAACTCCTTAGAGTGACTAGCATCTAATTTCTCCTTACAATATCATTCTTGAATCAAACATTAAGGTCATGAGAATAGAAGAAATGATCACCAACTAGAGCAGCTCTTGATTATTAAACAAATTCTCTTTGTCAGCATCTTGTGAAATGTATGGTGAATATTATGGAGAATATGGATACTGATGTTAAGGGCCGGGGGAAAGAGTTAACCACTGAGTGACTACTCATGTATGTCTTCTTGAAGTTCCTTTAGTTAACACCCTTGAATCTAATCAACGTCAAGAGGATAAAGGAAATGATTTGCGAATTTAAGAAGCTCATGGTTCAGTTAAAAAGACTCTCCTTGTCATAACAATAGGTAATGTAAAGAGAACAGAAGGAGAACAAACATACTTATGAAATTAAGAGATCCTCGCAGCTAAGAACACTACTGAAACGAGTAGTTGTAAATAGGACCTGAAAACTGTGCACCGATATCGCGGAGGTCATGGGTTCATATCCCGTACAGGCCTGAATTTTTTCAGGTCCTATTTACAACTACTCGTTTCAGTAGTGTTCTTAGCTGCGAGGATCTCTTAATTTCATCTCTCCACTGCAGTGCAAATATATGAACTTTCATATACCTAAAATCATCAAACATACTTATGTTACTGTCTCTTACTTTGGATTTCTTAATTCCTCCAGTGTTAGCACATCTAGCATTTCTTTGGCCCTCAAGTCTGTGTAAACTTTCTTGTTCTCGTGGTCAAGTTTTATCAATGTGTATTCCACCTTTAGACAAAAAGGTTAAATTATGAGCAAATTTAGTACTTTAATATGTAAATCAATGTCTGACAGAGTCACTCAAACAATTCTATGGTTCAAACTATTATGATCTGCTACTATACTTTTTGAATTTTTTCTAAAACTTTCTCTCCCTCTCTCTCCCATTACAATTTTGCCCAGAGTTACAAAATGGTCATTAATTTCTTGTAACATTGGGGGGGGGAGGACGTTTAATTAACCTATGGATGAGAGATGAATTACAAGATTTTGGTTTGTTATGTTAAGTGTGGGGTTATCACCACGTACATGTAAATGAAGAAAGAGGAGGTAATGTCAACTGCTTTTGCCACTAATACATAGATATGCCTTGTTAACCACACAGGATGTCAAGATGGCTGGAAGGTTATAGGTTTTGCAGAATATTTTCTGAAATTTTGTGAACTGAGATGAATTAGAGGTCTATAAAAATGAATATCCAGCCATCTTGACTGAACAAGCTTGGTCAGTACGGGATTTACTACATAGCAAATAGACTTCAAGAATGACTTGTTTATTTTGAGAGTTGGAAAGAAAGCCAACTGTTGGAGTACAATAAAAACATGATAACTGATTATGTTTTCTATGTTATGACTGTATTCTGCTGCTTTCTGCAACTCCATTGCCAGCATTGTCCAAAAATTAGGAACTTGGACAGACCCCTACATGCAATTTTTTTTTTTTTTGGGGGATCAAAGTGCACAGTCCAGAGAGAGTAAGATAAGCCCATCTTAGCCTGCCTGCCTGGAGAAGCCGATCAGAACACAGGATTCACTTCTTAATGTACTGGGGCACTGCCAGCAAATTAATCAATGTAGGTTGCACAAATTTATTGCAAATATTTTAGCTCTTACTAATTTAAGGTGTAACCAATTAATGAAGTACAGTAGTATTTACATATATAGAGATTAAATCAACCGAGAGCAGCTGTTCAAGAGATTATTAAAGTGATAGTGTAGCACATTATTGTGTACCATGATTAAGCATAATTTTTTCTTTTGAGACAACATGGATAAACACTGGATCTATCCTGTAGTTAGATAACTTGAGCAGTATTGCCAATGGCCAAGTGACAAATTCAAATTAATTGTCAAATTCCATGTCAAATTCCACACAAGATTCCTATCCTTTCCTAAGAATTATGACCTATTGTTATTAAAACGGTACTTACTCAGCAAATTGTATGACTATATTAGGAAAATGACTTGGCAAATTTTCATGGGAAATTCAAACAAAACAAAAAAAACATCGATCCTAGAAGATTTTGAAGTGCACGCATCCTTTCGTTGACAAATAAGTAGAAAATACACGCAATATCGAATGCTTAATGCATTAAACTTTCTAAAATTGTCAAACACGATGAATACGGTTGACATACGGAGACTGCCATATTAATGAAAATAAACGGAGGTCGCATGTTGGAGCTTAATGGCAATATTTAAGCTCTTTACGCAGTTCTTAAGCATTTTTGTCTACGTATTTTACGGTTTACACATTAATTTACTTTCCGTCAATATGCAACCAATTCTTTGGCTAAAAAAAACATAACTGACAGACCAAATAAGCTGCACGAAAACATGTACTTAACGACCTGCAGCGAAAGTGTTAAAGTCCATGTCGAAAAAGAAAAAAATAAAACTCACCCTGTATTTCTCAAAGTAGTTTAGCATGCAGTCTTTGACAAGTAAGGATAAACCATGTGATTTTTTTTTTTCTTGAACAAGTATTCACGGAACCAGAACTAAATAAACAAGCTGCTAAAAGCCGCTCATATAAAGCATTCTGAATAAATTACACACAAAAGAGGCAGAAACGTTTTACAGTACCTCGTCACCCCATTTCAAGCAGTCATTTTCCCGGTCTTTTAGCCTATTATAGATGTGAAGAAACTGCAAAATACCGTGCTTTCGAACATGATTGGCGTACTGCTTGGTTTCGGACCACGATAAAGGAGATCCAAGTGAAAGAAGACCCATGTTTGTTCCTCACGATACGAACGGACCGGCAACCACACGTGGAAATACGAATTACACACTTAGATGATGACAAACAGAGCTTGAATTACACTTCTATGGAAAAGAACTTGAGCGAGCCACCCAAATTGTGCCAAATTTCGTGTTGACCGCTGGATCCTGTCGTCGTTGTCACGTTCCGAACTAACTACTGTATCGAAACTATCCCGTATGATATATTCTTGTGTATCTTCAATTGTTTGTTTACACTTTGCACCGTCAGGGCTTGGCCTCAATTTCCTCCTATCAGCTTCTAAGAGGCGGGTGGGGTTTCAGCGAAAGTGTACGAGCCGATATGAAATCATCAGAGGTAAAAAAAGCAGGGTTGTGACTCGTTCAAAAGCAAGTGACCAGTACCTGAACAAGATAACGTGACAGAATATGTAAAGAGAGCCAATATTGGAAATTGCGTAATTTATTTGTCATGGTTAACTTACCGCGACAATCCAAATAATGATTCAAGGATGCCACTATCATAAAATGCAGGGAGAAGAACTTAAAAACTTTCGTAAAATCTCCAAGTCCTTCGTAAACCGGTGACAGCGTACTAATCTGAAATTAGCAACCCGGCCTTCTACACCCAAGCAAGTAATTGGAAGATTTGGAGAGATTAGTTATCTGTTCACACCTATCATTACAACTAAGGCACGCAATCATTATCCTGGAAAGGTTCCATTATTTTCTCTTGCCTGTAATTAAGAAAACAAGGTGTAGTGTAGTATCTTTAAGAATGCGTTCAATAAGGGACATGATCGGCACGAGTTGACTATGAATATTAATATTGTGAGATGTATTTACATATAAGTGAGGTGAGTGTTGACTAAGGCCCTGTTTACATGGAGGTGGGGGACCCCAAGTAGGTGAGGTAACCCGCCTTACCGTGGTCGAAAAATAGCTGACGTTTACATGTAATCTTACGACCCCGGGGTGAGGTTTGTCGCAAAGCATGTAAACAGACAAAATGGCGGGCAAATGATGCATATTGGCTGTGAATGCACTTTTCTTTTCACTAGGTGCTCTTGCCGCCACTTTTCAATACTGTGGCTTTTTTTTGTCACTTTTAATGATGCAAGCCTCCCCCAAAGGCAATTAACTGTTCAGGCAACGCAGCAGTGCAATGCCGCTGTTGCACGACTTCGACACATTCGAACAAGAATTAA